AGTATCTACCTTCTTACTGGGGAGACCCCCAATAACATGAGTAAACTGTATCCTGAATTTTCAAAATGATAAAGCAAAGTTTATCATATTAAAAAAATAATCATTTGTTATACTTTGTCTATGAAATTTTTAATGGTAACTGCGATTTTGGGTTATCTGTCTTCCAATTTTCTTGTTGACTCATTAAATAAATTATACATCTCAGTAAAGAAAACCAAGTTTTTGCCCAGAATATAGATTACTATTTACTGTCTGTGGCTAGATGCAAATTTTAGGTGGAACAGAAAATTGGAGAAAACAATCTTTAGCTCCATAATTCTTAAAAGGACATGCATTTTCAAAATACCAGTATCTTTTTAAAATTCAAGTTAGAAAGATTAAATGTGCACAATTCCAATTTTATAGGAGAAACACGGATCCCTTTTTGGAAATGGTTTGATAAATTCACAAGTGACATTCTCTTCCATTAAAGCTTGCTCTCTTGGTAACATTTGCTGGCTGATATTGTTAATGAACATATTAGCGACTAAAAAAAAAAATCATTAGTGCCTCTTAAGTAATGCAGAATGTAAGTTATACAATATGAGGGGCTTCAAAAAGTTCGTGGAAAATGCTATTAACTTAATTCCATTTTCCCAGGAACTTGTTGAAGCCTCCTTGTATTACAGTCCCATTTGAAAATCTGAAGTTTTTATATTATATAGCCCTTTATTCTCTCCTCAATTAAGCATGCTAGAAAAAGCAGACTACGAAGAAAAAAAGAAAAAAATGTGGACTGAATGGAAAATATAACTGCATGCCACATGTCATTCTCATTTTATAGAAATGAATACAATGCTGAATTCCTTCCTAAGTGCTCCTCTCAAGAAGGCTGTGCCGTTTTCCCTGAATCTGTTTCCCTTCACAGAGTGAAGAATTTTTTAAAAATCTAGTGGAAATGTTTCTCACAGTCCTGGGGAATCCATGTGAAACCGAACATTCTGGAAGGCAACTCACTGTTGACAGGAATGTGTACTTCTGATCCGCAGCTCTTTCAGGTGCCCCACAACCTACAGACCAGTGTTTTATCCTATAATTATACTGTCAGCCAAAGAATATGCAGAGTGAGAGGCAAGTCTGTGTTTAAAGTTACAAAATCAGGGGAAACATTCTTCTGCAATTTCTCCTTGACTAGAATAGTACCTGATTTGTTTTGTCAAATCCAGCAATCAGTATGCAGAGATGAATGAAATTTATGTTTAGAAATTATTTGGAATTTGTCACATCTTTTCAGTATTTTGTAAACTAAACCAAATGTCCCTTAAGTTTACAAAAAGGGTCTTTGCAGACATGGGGACATATAAAACAAGCTTATGTAAGTACAGGATAAACACACAAAAGAGGTAATCACTAAATACTACTTTGTCTCCACCAAGCTGAACCAGGAGAGGAATGTGAGGAAGTAGGGTGGGGACCCGCTGGACTGATGGAATTACCCAGAGAACTGCTCAGCCCTTTGGCATCCCTTTGTCTGGGAAATTCGAGTTCAGGGGTAAGTTAAGAGTCTTGGGCAGGAAAAACAATATGGATAATAACTCTTCCCTTTTTTATCCTAGTGAATGTTGTCTTCTTAAATTGTCGCAACATTTGGCCGCTTTCTTTGGATTTTTCCTGCATATACTCCTAAAATCAAAGCAAAACTAGTATTATTTCTCAATGTTAAGTTTTTCTATAATGCTACCACTTAAGGGCTGCTTACTATATGCCAGGCAGTGAACTAAGGCAACATAAATCAACTTCTTTAATTCTTAGATACAGAAATCCGAAGTAGAAATTATGACTACATTTTAAGGATAATAAAACAGAGGCGGAAGGGAGTAAGTCACTCACACAAAGTATGAGCAAGAATGAAAGATCCTGAAAACCCCGTCTACCTGACTGATCTATGTAACCATTTTACATTATACTACCTCCTATTAAGGTCAGCAGGGCAAACTCACCAGCCGCTACTTGGAAACCCTACACAGGTCGCTATGAGACAGAACCGACTTCAAAACAACATTCTGCTTTAATCAGTGGTTTCAGAATTTTCCTTTAAACTCAAGTCAAACACAAAACATCAAACAAACAAATAGGTGGTTTTTTTAAAAAAAAAAAAATATGAGAATATAAATATAAATTTAATTTATGAAAACAACTGTGAAGTGCTGTCAAGTTGGTTCCGACTCATAGCAACCTTGTATTGAGTTTCCAAGGATGTAAATCTTTGCGGAAGCAGAAAGCCTCATCTTTCTATCACGGAGCTGCTGGTGGTCTTGAACCACCAACTATGTGGTCTGCAGTCCAGCGGCTATCCTACAGAATCATCACATTTCCCTGAAAAAACTATAAACTTTGCAGCAAACTTTAACATCTGAGAAGAGCATGATATTGTAACATCATAATAAAAATGTGTTTTCTATAAATTCCTTAATAAAGGGTTTGTTCTCCATGTATATAAAAATCAAAGCACAATTTCAAATTTGTTCAAAACACAAGCCAAGCTATTAGAAATCTAAGCAGGAAAAAGTATTAGTTTGAAGAGCAAATGATGGAGCCCTCTGTTAAGATTCAGTTAAAATTTTAATCAGTAATATCCTAATTCTCAGTTTATGTAAGAGCATAAAATTCTTCAGTTTCTTTCAATTGTCTAAATATGCATTTGTATACAAATCTTTACAAAAATAAGAATTTTTGTGCTTGTCTGGAAACACATTAATTGTATACATCAATTCAAAGGTTAAGCTTATTTAGTCTAATAATTATATTGCGGTGCAATTAAGCCTTAATAGTTCTAGGCACTGAAGTTCACTGTACATTTTTGCTGCAATGACCGTCTGTTGAGTATTACTGGGAAAAAAAAAAAAAAAAACCAGTACTGGTATTTGGCTTGCAGGTTCACAAAAGGCCGAGATGAAATGCATGCGCAAAGAACACGGAGAGCAGTTATGTGGAAACTTAATATCACTAGCAAAACAATACTCATTTCTGATGATTTGTCAATTAGCAAAGATTGGTCACAACATTGAACACTAAGGTGGTTAAAACAGGAAAATATCTGAAAGTTCTCTAAAACTTCATAAGCAACATAATCGGGTGTTTGCTCTGAGTTCTTTCAAATGACTAACTTCCCTGCTAGCTGAGTGCCTGCCTCTGGAGCAAGCAGGGTCATCAGGAATGGAATCCCATTTACAAGTCCATAAACAGTCACTTACAGGGACTTCCCAAAGATGGCCTTTCACATTACTGCACGTGCATGCAACAGTATCGGCTGTATTCACTACATACATGCAAAATACAAGCACATTTCAAGCGAGGATCAATACTTTATTCGTTTTGAATAAACATGACCAAATGATAGTAACATGACAGATGTCTCTGGCTGTTGGTTCCCGCTCAATTTGAAAGAAAACAGTTTTTTGAAAAATCTTGAAGTACATCTAATTGTAAACTAGTGGGAAGATTAGAAATGATTAAAGGTTTAATCTTTAATGCCAGAATGCCTGCTGATTAATTTAGGTGTCTGTTAAATGTGTAGAATAGTAGTGCTATGGATCAAGCGAAGCATTTTCAAGCAATTTTACTAGATCAGAGAATTTTTAGTGAGCATATCAGAAGGTCTTAATAAGCACATCTAAAGAATATTGAAGCATTAGATAAAAAGGTGTGGATTAGCTCAACATGGAATCTGTCTTCTTGCCACCATAAAATACAATTTTATACATTGTAAAATTTAGCCCTTAAATAGTTCTCAAATAATGGCCATTTGGAGAGATTTAGCTCAAGTTTCTTACTGAGAAAAGGATTAATAATAATTAAAAAAAAAAAAACCAACTCCCTCCCACTTGGCATATTCACAGGAGATCTCAGTCAGAGGGAGAAATTGTTCACCCCTTACGGCACATACAAAGATTTCTGGGCAATACACTTTCCCAAAGCTTACCAGACAGGGTTAGATTTAGAACAGCACAGACATCACATAATGTTTATATTTTACTTGTTTATAAAAATGTGGGGAGTTTGTTTTGTTCTGAATTTACGCTACATAAATCTATAAATTTTTAGAATGAAAAAATACATAGTTTTTCATGAAACTATTATAGAAATCAAGATTGACACCACAGTTTTACTAAGATCTTTTGACCGCCACAAAAAACCTCACACGAGCTATCACTAAGAGGAATGACTGTGAATATGCCATACTTATGGTGGCAAGCAAAGACAAACGCTAGATCCCATGTGCATGGCCTGAGGTAGGGACAGCCTGTGCGGGTCTCTCCACTGAGTGGGCTTCAGGGACTCACGTTCTACACACCTGAAACAGGCGCTCTGCTAGGCACTCTGCTCTGTGAAGGCTTCTGTCTAGTTTGCACAACCCCCTTCACTGATGTCTTAGGGGTTCTAATTGAATATAAAAAAAATGAATATGTCACTTGCATTCAGGTCTAAGGGTTCAACAGTCAAAGAAAGCACCCACATTGTCTCAGCTGGTCAGTGTGTGAACGAGCCGGAAAGGATTTAAGGCTCAAGCACATACGTGGGAAGGAAGCTAGACTTGCGCTTCAATGGGCCCACTGGCTTACTCTTTGTTGGAAACTAGCTTTTATGACACTTACAATGGGGATTTTGTTTCAATAATGAGTTAAATGGTATGAAGTGGATGGTACAAACATGCCAACATAAGATGACAAAGTATAACACACAACAGTATACCCAGCAGGTTGTCTTTGAAGACAAAAGAAATCTAGAAAGACACTAAGGCTCTTTCTAATGCTATAAAAGACAGCACATTTGGAAGCCAGCTACCCTTCATGGAAAGAGCACAGAAGGTTTCTCCAGTGAAAGCTAGTCTTGATTTGAATCTTCCTATATGCTATACAGGCGGCACTCTTACCCTTGTCTGTTAAGTAGCCTATGAGCAGGTGCATTCTGTCCTTGGTTTGGCTGAAGGACTCTGTTGACAAAGCAAATAAAAAATGAACTCCAAAGGGTAAATTCCATTCCCCTGACCCCCACTATGTTCTTTCAGTGGATGAGGTGGAAGTATCTGTGCAATGATGTGGTCTCTGTATGCCGCAAAGCAAAGCACATTCATGAAAGTACAGAAGCATGGCACTGGTATTTTGCTCACAAGAGCCTAAACCTGAGGTTGGTATCAGGAAACAACTGTCTAATGTTAAGCATTAATCCGTGAGCTTTTGAATGTTTTATTTATATTCCTTACAAAAGTCAACTGGTCTTCTCAAACATTTGAAAGAGGAAACGATCACTCTTGTTTTACGTGGAAAGTAGGTCAGCAGTATCAAAGATGCCCTGGACTGCGCACTGAACTCAGGACATATGGGGCTCAAGTTTCTGCCAGAGACGGCTCGTCCTGCACCAAAGTTCCATGAGCATCTGACCTGACACGTGACCAAGCACAGGACCAGGTGCTGCTGGGGATCCTGAGCCTGCAATCCTCCATCCAACCCAGCAGGGAACGCATGCTATTGATGTAAAGCCAACAGCAGCACGCTCGGGATATAGAAAATTTCCTTTTATGAGAAAAAAAAATTAATAATAATCCCTAGCTGAGCAATTTTTCTCACCTTGTTTCAGAAGGATTTTGTTTAAGGAAAATTTTCTTATTTGGCATTCCCATTTCAGCAGCTCTAGCACAATAAAGGGACACAAACAATGTATTTAGAGAAAGGAGAAAAAAGCATGCTTACAAATGCAATGTGACACAGGTTCAAAGGCTAAATCATCATTTAAATGCTGGTGTACCACTTAAAGACTGACAGTAAGTGTACTAAAGAGTTCCTTCAAAACATAATTTTAAAAAGTTAGTTATTCTTGCCATTAATTTTTTTTCCTCCTCTGAAGTCTTCCGGCTACTAGAAATGGAATATATTTAGGAGAGAAAATTAAAACACTAAACATGAGGATTAACTATTTTTAAGGTTTTTTTGACTGGCTATTAATTATACCAATTGAATGCTGGACAAATTTACTCATTAACAAAGATTAAGTTACTACTACCTGATTTCAGCAATCTCTACCTGAAAAAGGGATTTCTATGAGTTCAGCTATGGAAAACTCTTTTACTTCTAATGTAAGTCCATAAGCAGGTAACAGGAAACGGAACCTAATTGGTTTGATCATAATGAAACTACTGTGGCACCACACGAAAAACTTACTTCATGTACTTCTTCCTATCAAGAGACTTCTGTGTTGCAGCTGAAAGAGCTACTCGCGGGCTTTTCATTTTATCCTTTAAAACAAAAATACATACAACATACAGCTCTAGCAGTACCAAGAATACCACTCTATGTAGTACAGGATGAGCCCTGGTGTGGTGCTACACAATAAGCACTGGACTGGTAACTGCAAAGTCAGCAGTTGCAACCCATCAGTCGCTCTTGGAAACTGACTTGACGGCACACTGCAACAACAACCTATCAGAGGATGATATCCAACTGCATTGAAAAGTTTCTCAACTTTAACTTAAGGTTTCTCTATAGTAAGTGAAGTAATCTGAGTTTTACACAAATAATTCTCTGATTTTCCCCAAGGAAATAATACAGATTTTGTTGTTTTTTTCCTTTGTCAGCACAACAAAGAACATTGATTGAACCACAGAGGTCCAACACTCTGCTAAATTTCTAATTAATCTGGAGCCTGTTTTCTAGCTCTGACTTTTAAACAGAACACAAAACATGATAGCTTCAAGAAAACTCAACCAATTGGAGCTGACAGGTTTTCATAAGCCAATTGAGCAATAGGCAAAGCTTTAACGCCAAAATTCAGTAGGAAACAATATGTAGTTCTTACAGCAATTTCTTTTAAATCTCACTACAGATTGAAATGTTGCTGGCAGGCCTGAAAGTTATCTACCCTGACTAACTCTAGGGAGGATGATGAAGTCATTATCAATTACCCCAAGCCTCTGGGCGCAGTGCTGGAACTCTTGCCTTCGATATGGGAGGTCCAGGTTCAATGCCAGTCAATGCTCCTCAAGGGTTAATCACCATGGACAGATTTCAGGGGAGCTTCCAGACTAAGAAGACTAGGAAGAATGTCCTGGCAATCGATCTCCAAGATTCAGCACATGAAAATCCCACTGATCATGGACGTCTTATACGTAACTCATAGTGGGGACGGCACAGAATCAGACAGTGTTTTATTCTGTTTTATATGGAGTCAGAATGACAGGCAGCTAACAACAGTAACAATCTCAACCAAACCTAGAAGAACCTTATTCATTAGAAAATCACAGAGCATACCATTTGTCTGAGCATTTTCTCTTTTTGGACTTCTCGATCATGGTGCAGAATAGACATTCTTTCAGCTGCATCCATTACAAAGAATATGTCATGAATACCATACAGGGCAGCTCGCAACTAGGTTCAAAAAGAAGAAAGTATTGCATCCATTTAAAAAAAAATGAGGTCAGAGGTCAGTAATCCTACGTACATTTCTGTCATTTGGTGTAAAAGGTTAAAGTTTTCACTTAAACTTATTATGAAGGGAGAGAAGTAGAATGCTTCCATTTCTGGGGCGCTTCCAGGCTGTGATTACCTGCGCTAACACTCGTTCTTGAAGAGAGACATCTTGTGCAGAAACAACGCCTCTCTTTAATGGGGCTTCGGACTGAAAACTTTTCATGAATTCCATGGTATCCTGAAAAAAAGAATACGGTCCTTCTGAAAACATGTTTTCATAAAGATCCATTTTCACTGGGTTTTCCTTTTGCTCTTCATCTCAGACAATCCAAAATTATGAAGAACAACAAAAAAAAAACCCCAATCCAATTAAAAAAAAAGAGTAGAGGATATGAACAGAACTCACTTCATCAAAGAAGACATACAGGCAATCAACAAACATAAAGAAATGCCCTTGATCATTAGCCACTGGAGAGATACACATCAAAACAACAATCAGATTCCCATCTCACACAAGCAGTAAGAGCAAAGTTCACAATAACAGAAAACAACAAATGCTGATGAGGGTGTGGAGAGACTGGGACCCTCACACACTGCTGGTTGGACTGCAAAATGGTGCCACCACTGTGGAAAACAGTAAGTGCTTCCTTAAAAAATAGAAACGCCATATGGTCAAGCATTCTCACTACTAGGTACGTCCTCTAGAGAACGAACTGTGACACCAGCAGACATGCACACCCATGGTTACTACAGCAGTAGTCACAACAGCGAAATGGTGGAAACAACCTAAGTGTTCAACAACAAATGAACGGATACGCAAACCATGGTACACACTCACAACGGAACACTGTGCAACATTAACGAATAGTGAGGAAGCTATAAATACTTCACAGCAGGGATAAACTGAGAGAACATCATGCTGAGTGAAATCAGTCAATCACAAAAGGGCAAATATTGTATGACACCATTACTGTAAAAAGTCAAGAAAAGGTTTGCACACAGAATCTCTCGTTGAAGGTCACCATGGGTGAGGGGGGAAGGTACGGTAAGTGACTAACTAGAAGGCTAGTATTAACTTGGGTGAAGGGGAAGCAATATACAACAAAAGGGAGCCCTGGTAGCACAGAAGTAGTAGTGCAAGGTCAGCGGTTCAAATATACTAGTCGCTCCACAGGAAAAAGATGATCTGTAAAGACTTATAGCCTCAGAAACACTATACAGGTGCCAACTCCACGGCACACAACCACCACCACCACCCAAAATTATCTAGGCAAAGAATGACACTTGGAGGAGCTCGAGAGTTAAAGGCAACAAAGATAAATAATACTGTATACTCAATCCTGTAATAACAATAAACTATGAGTAGATTATGGATAGATACTTAAACTGAACAGAGGTGGGAAATGAATGGGACTTCCCCTATGAATATATGTAAATAGATATGACAGAAGCTATTTCTTCATATGCATTTACCTACACTGTAAGTATACCCATGGATACAGTCTAGAGGGAGCAAAGTTGTAAAAACTTCTTAGCTATAACAAAACACCTTGAAGGAAAGAGTCTCCAAGCTTGGGGGGCTGAGGATTATAGTTTCAGGGGACCTCAAGGTCAACTGGCATAGAGTCTACAAAGACAGTGTTCTCCATCCTACTTTGGTGAGTAGTGACTGGCGTCTTAATAGCTCGTGAGCAGTCATCTGAAGTGTAACTACTGGTCTCTTCCTATCAGGAGCAAAGAGGAGTGAAGACAAACAAAGATGCACAGAAACAATTCATCTGATGGACTGATGGGCCACATGAACCTCAGTCTCCACAAGCCGAAACCATCAGAGCTAGATGGCGCCCCGCTACCACTACTGACTGCTCTAAAAGGGATCACATTAGGAGCTCCTGGAGAGAGTGGGAGAAAAATGTGAAGAAAACTCAAAATAATAAAAAAGCCTTACTAGTCTGACAGAAATGGTGGGACCCTGAGATTATAGCTTCTAGACACGCTTCAGGCCCAGAACTGAACTCACCCTCATGACTCAACATTCAGCCACATGCTGTATAGGCCTATACGGTGAACATCTACACCAAGGAGGTATGCACCCCTAAGAACAATCAAATACAGGATATCAAAGGGGCAGCATTTGCCCAGGGATAAAACTCAGAAGGCAAGAAGGGACAGGCGCAAAGGCGCAAATGATAACAGGAGAGAGGACGAAGTGGCAGAGTGCTGTTCCATGGTGGGCATTGCAACCAAAGTCCCCAAATAACAGAAATTGCTAAGAACATTAAGAAGTCAAAGAGTGCTCACTTGTAAGTAGACAAAAAAACTCAAAATATACAAATGACTTTAGTTGCATACTATTTAATATTTATTGCATAGATTATCTGAATAAGATGAAGAGTTTTCTAAAACTGCTGTTTTACAGGGTCTAAGAAAATGTTTGAAGTGCCTAAATTTTTAACGACTCTCTTGCCAGCTCGTCACCACAGCCACCTTACTTTCACAGTTTGTCGAAGCTGCTTCAGCTTCTCAGTCTGCAGAAGTCGGCGAGTGAGAAACCCTTTTGCCACAGCGCTTATTTTGTTGAATTTTCCTTGTACGTCTGGACTGAAAACCTAGGCGAGAAAAACAGACAAAAAGTTTTAAGAATCTGAGCATAAAAACCCAAGATTCTTTTTCTTTAATTAAATCAACTTAACTAAATTCCCAACTAGAGATAACAAGAATCACTCATTTCCTTTATATCTGTATGCTCTACACAGTGTCATCTCTAATAGCAGCAATTTGATGCATGGCAAGAACAAACACAACACTCGTTTGCACAACCCAAGACAATGTCACTCTTAAGAAATATACATACTTATGAAAGTATAAATAAATTTGCCCACCTGAGACCATCTAGTTTTGGCCCTTCCAAAAGTTCTGATTACTGAGATTTTGGTCAAACCACTAGTTGAGGATCCCCAGAGGTAGAATGGTGACTCGTTTGCAGCACCAAAGCTGTGCTGCAGGGTAGAATTCAGGAAACCTAGAGAAATAGCCATATATACACACTTGATGGCATCGAGGCTGAACATACAGAAGATTCAAACAAGCAACCGTGACACACATTAAAAATAACAAGTGCCCCTGAAACTGATCCATGCGCAGACTTCAAATATTGATGGACTTCAGCTTAGGTACCAGATGGATCTTTTCCACACAAACAGCAGCTCAGGATAATTGAAGATGTGAAGATTATCCCTTACAGAGAGAGACTGGGGCATTAGATGTAATTCAAGATCACTTGGGCCACACAGCAAACTGCGCTCCCAATCGAAGCATGTCCCCTGTGCATGAACACACAAAGGCTGCCCTTGGAGCCAAGGCCACTGGTATTTCCTCACTGAGGTGGTCTTCTCTCATGAATACCTGCTTACTGCTCTTTGATCTGCTGGTACCATTTTTTTTTTTTTACGGACTACTAAGCAGCTGACAAATAGCAGGGCCCAACCATGGAATTACTTAATGAAAGAACTAAAAATTTTCAGTCTGCCCACCCCCAAATGATCACAATTACCAGAATGATTTGAACTTGAAGTATGGAGTGTGTCCACTTGAGACAGCATCGTTTCTAGCAACCCAGAGCCACCGATTTTTCTCCACTCTAGCTCCAGTGCATGGCTGCTATCAAGCGCAGAGGTGCCTGCTGGGACCACCTGCTTCTCCTTTAACATTTTCTCCTGCTCTTCTATTTCCTGCAGACCAACAGTTTAACATGCTAGGTCTTCTGTTCAACGATACCACAAAATACGATGGTTTTCAGCTCGACCAAAAGTCTGTGTAATTACCAGCAAAAAACTGTTCACTTTAAGGTTTCCTTTGCTCAAATAAAACAATGGCAGTGTAATTGTATTTCATTAAGTAAAATCATCTTTAAACAAGTGTCCTTCTTCTCATGATATAGTTCTTGCAGAATGTGCATTTTGACATTTCTATCTTTTTTTAAATTGTCATTGTTTTGAATCAAGGATTTAATCAGGTGTCTTTCTTAAATAATAAAGTATGCAATTACTTTTAGGTCAGGATCTAAATAAACATGACAATTGGGAAGTAAATATGTTACACAAGCTTTAAAATCAATGGCCTCAATAAAGCAAAAAACTGTGGCCTCTTTACATTAAGACACGCAGACTTGCCAAGTCGATGGGCATCTCCTACAATTTCACTCCCCAGCTCACACACCTATGTTGTGATTCCTCACCGTCTGCAATCTTTCCTGTTCCCTCTCCTGCTCAGCTATGAGTAGTGAGAGCTGCTGGGCATGCTGTTCTTCTAGTCGCTTCCGCATTTCTTCAAAAGCTAACATCTTGCTTTTTAAGACCTCCTCACACTCTGAAAAGAAACATGTGCCCTCAAATTAAGAAAATTCACTACAATGTTAACATCTTATATTTTATACCTTCAAGTTAAGATACGCTTCTGTCTTCAGTATTCCTTAACCTGACGTCACATGATTTAGATATACCACATTCTCATTTTGCCACTTGTTTTACACATCAGCCCATATTTAGTGGCTATTGCTGAAATCAGGGTCTGAACAGATGTTGCCAAGACCTACATTCAGCTAAGAGTCTCGTACATATCTTCATGTGCTTCTCTTTGATTCTTGTCCTTCTCAAGCATCATTTATGTATATAGGTTTGTTTTGCTTTCTAAAGTACAAGCCTTTGGTTGGTATAAAGCTTTAACAGCTTGAGGCTCCAAAAAATACTAGGTATTAAAAATCCAGATATCTTTTAATAACTAACTAAAATATTTACGAAAATCATTATGATTATGTAATTTCATGAAAAGAAAGTGGTGAAACATTATTGAAATGTTGAACTACCAAGTATTTCACAGATATAGTGTGCATTATATTTCATTTAAACTCAAAGAATCATTATAATTCACTGTAATTCACCTAAATCCAAGCAATCCTTTTCCAATGATACAATCTATGATCTTCAGTGAAGGTAAGTATGTTGTGTGTTATTACTGCCCTACTGAGGAGCCGCTGTAGGATAACCACAGGTTGGTAGTTCAAACTCAGCAGTGGCTCCTTGGGAACCCTACACAAGGTCGCTACGAGTCAGCACCGACTTGATGGAACGATTTCCTCTAGTAGCGTAGCTGTTAAGTGCTGCTGCTGATTGCACTATCAACAGGCCAAAGAAGTGGCAGCCTGCTCCCCCAGGGGCTGTTGGTGTTGTTGTGAACCCCCAAACTCACTGCTGTCGGATCTGATTCACAGTTGACCCTGTATTGCACAGTAAAACTACTTCAAAGCGATTCCAAATCCGAAAATCTTTGGAAGCAGCAAACCAACACTTAATCCACTGCACCAAGAGGAAATGTTTCAGCTTTAAAACCCCTGTGGGATAACTTTACTGTGTTCTACAGGCACACTACTGGACTGATACACCACAGGTTGGTGGTTCAAATCCACCAGCCACTCCTTGGAAGCCCTATACTGGGTCGCTATGAGACAAGTGACTCAATGGCACTTCAAATCAACAACACAGGACCATTACAAGTAGGACTGGACTTGACAGCACTCAACAATAAGTCTTCCCATAGTTTCTTAATAAGGACATTTGCTTCCATTACAGCAATCTTCATGTAGTCACATGAAATTTTTCATAGGCAAAGGGGAGCCAGAAAAGCAAGCATAGAATTATAACCTTTCACAAGAAAAGGCAACGCCCCTCAGTTCAACCACTGAACTGCGAGCAGGAGCCCACTCTATCCCAATCTCACCAACTTTACAAATGACCGCCTGTCCCCGGGGCTCCCACCCCAGCTCTGGGAAGCTCTCGGCATACTGCACTGCCCCCTGTGCCCACTGGCAGATGCCCACCAGTCTCCATGACTGGTCTCATCACCCATCACTCTCTATGTCCATTGGCGCTGCTCATTGCCACACACAGGCTTTGGGTACTGTGAACAGTCACTGTGGCAACCTCTAGCCACACTATGTTGTCTAGTTAAGGGATCCAAGTTGGTGCCCAGGTACTGATTGTTGATTTTATTCCACTCCTTATTTGGTTGAACAGGGTTTAAGCAATCTGCCTCAACTTTTTCCCATTAGCCTTGTTGTGTTTAGTATGAAATTTTACAGAACATGAGGTTCTTTAAGATGATAAGAGCTGAAATGTCTATGTCTAAAGACTAACCTACTTGATTACATTTTCCGTATCAGTGACAAAGGATTATTAACCATGACAACAAAGGCATAATGATGCTGTTAATGCCACACAGACACAACAGAAGACAATGTAAAACATTTTTATCAATAAATCATTCTTGTGTCACCATTCGAAGTATCATTTGTAATGTTTTCTCTAACAATTGGATGTTAGTGTTTCCTAAAGGACCAACCACATAAAAGTCTCCAAGCAAATAAAACAGCAAGCTGACAAGAGCGTTAGAAAGCACACTTCCAAAGACCGTATTTTACAGTGGATTGAAATGAGGTGTGATGTTTCATGCAAGAACTTTGTTTCCTAAGTCACTAATAATATCCTCTGACATACTAAGTGGATTATGAAAGCTTCCTAATTTAAAGAAGAGCAGTTATTAAAGAAAAGAAAATCTATCAAATGGCAATAAACAGTCAATGGTTAAGCACATGGTTAATCGAAAAGGCAGTGGTCAGGACTCAGCGGCCTCTCGGTGAGAGAAAGATGTGGCAGTCTGCTCGCAGACAGGTGACGCCCTTGGAAGCCCAATGAGGCAGTTCCACTCTGTCCTATCAGGTCACCACGAGTCAGAATCAACTTGATAACAGTGGGTTTGGGGTTTTGTGTTTAGGAACTATATGCTAATATGATAAAGGCAATTCAATACCCTTTCTGGTAGCGGAGTGGTTACGAATTGGGCTGTTAACCTCAGGGTTAGCAGTTCAAAACTACCAGCTGTTCCATGGGAGAAAGATGAGGCTTTCTGCTCCCATAAAGATGTACAGCCTCGGAAACCCTGTACAGGGTTGCTATGAGTTGGAAGCGACTCCACGGCACACAACAACAACAAGTGGCACTGTGGATTAATGTGCTGGGCCACAAAGTCAGTTTGAACTGCAAGATCAGAGATTCAAACCCTCCAAGCTGTCACTCAGAAATTCTATACAGGGTCATTGCAAGTCCGAAGTGACTCCACGGCACTTAACAACAATGAACATACAAAAATAAGCTCTTTTGTTTTTAAATGTCTACAGAAAGTATTAAAGGTACCATCTATTTTATAGGCATTAACACGTCAAGGGTTCCTTACCTTTTGAACTCTTTTCTAATATTTTATTCTTGTTGATGCACACAGGGCCCTTAGGGTATCTTTTTTCCAACAAAGGTTGCCTTTCCTGATCAGTTATTCCAGTTGTTATAACATAAGGGTAGTTTTCTTTCTGCATGCTATCAATCTCTAAATCTAATCTCCGCTTAACTTTCTCAAAACTGTTTTCCAAAAGCTCTTCATTCCTACAGGACACTGTGGGTGTGTCCATCTGCTGCTTACTATCCTGGGTTTGCATCAGTAAGGGAGACGGGTTCTTTACATCGTAAGACTTGTTCAGTTCCATCTGTAAAGTGCAGGAGGTTTTCTCAAGCACACTGGCTGGCTGAAGGCCACTCACACTCCCAAAGTTCTGACTCATTATACATTGGTTGGTACCATGTGGGTCATGCGAACTCAGTACTGCCGTACAGCTGCTGTCCATTTTATGTGGTCCTCTCCCATCAGATGGCAGCTGACCTTCCACAGGATCGAGTCCATGAATGACTTTATTTACGAGTTGATTTCCTGAAGACTGACATACCTGCTTTGATTTACTTAGAGCCGTTTCGGCCACGACTTCGGACGCATTTTTGCTGTCATAAACCTTGCTTGAATGTGCTCCAGTTAAATCCACGGGAAACTTTGGCACAGTTTCAGGTATGTTTGTTTTCTCATCAGCATCTTGAACAGTTAAGTCCACTGTCTGTACTTTTCCTTTTGGACTTAATTCACAGGCATTTATAGGATTATTTATAAGTATATGACATGCTGATGATGGCCTAGAACGTCTTCGATGCAGTTTAGGACTCATGCTTGGCTCTGGACTAGGTAATTTGGCATAGGAACCAGTGAGATTTTTGCTAACATGACTTTCAGGAACAAGAGTGGGAATGACCTTGACATCAGTATCAGAATCTACAACAGTGGGATGGTCAGCTTGTCTAGGCAGGTCCACTTTAGAAAAGCTAGTCAGAACGGACGGGCTCACGCTGCTAGCTTGAGTGGAAGCACCTTGGAGGAGGACATTTGATTTATTAAGGCTTGGTTTGTCAAGAATCGCTGAGCTGCAGTGTTTACCTAGCCACTGACCTTTCTCCTTTCCAGGTATGTTTGTTTCCTCATCAGCATCTTGAACAGTTAAGTCCGCTGTCTGTACTTTTCCAGCATCATTTTCTTGGTCAGAATGACTCTCATTAAAACTCCTCTTCGCACTACTTCCCAGGCTGCGTCGAGACTGTTCTCTTTCTATATATTCCTTTGATTTTTTCATCAGTTTTTGAAGACTCATTATGTAGGGGTCCAGAGTGACTTCTTCCAAAATGGTTGGATCCTGTGCTTCATTTTGCGGGGAGAGACTATCAGAAATTAGAGTTTCTGGTGGGGTTGCTGAACAGGTCTTTGGAGAAGGTTCATTTTTTGTGTGGCTAATGTCTGAGCCATCACATTGCTTCAGGGAACTGGATCCTTCTGAGTCACTAGCTAAGTCGACTCCATTACACTGAAGTTGGTCCTCATTACCCAAACGCAAAATTCCAGGTTTTGTTTCAAACCTTTTTGAAGTACATTGTGCAGGAGGGCTTGGCAAGTTATTTGGAAATGTAGCAGGAACATTCAAGTGTGGGACTTCTGAATTAGAGTAAACTGTTTCCGTCTCCCACTGATCAAAGTCACTGGCAATAGGTGCTTTTCTAACCTGAAAAAGAAAATTTAACAATTAACATTTTCTCATCGAATAAAAAAGCCTTTGGTTTCAATATTTTATAAAAATGTAACTGAAATCACAGATTCAGAGTTCTGATAAGTAAAAACACAAACAAAAGTCAATTAAGATGGCCTAAGAGTCCCAGTGTGGCACTGTGGGTTAATGCGCCAGACTGCAAAGCCGTTTGAACTGCAAGGTCAGCAGTTCAAGCTCACCAGCTGCTCCTTGGAAACTCTATACAGGGTCGCTATGAGTCATAACCAACTTGATGACCCTTAACAACAACAACATATAGTCATAGTCATAAGGGAGCAAAAATGTTCTTGAAAATGTATGTGTTTCTGAGTGTGTGTGTAGATATGTAATTTTTAGTGGGAGGAGGGATAAAAACAAGCCATCACACATCTTTCCCACCCAAGGTAAAAATAAAAAGTTGACATTAGGATTTTATTCTACTCACATAACTGTGTGTGAGCAATTGGCCACATCTAAGTAGTAAATGGCTTGTGGGCATCCCTGCACTCTTGGAAGCAGCTCTTACTACTACCCATGAGGCAAGAGCTCATTCATTTTTATACAAGGATACTCGGGAGATGTTGCAGGTGTGGTTCTAGACCACCACAATAAAGCAGAAATCTCAATAAAGCGTGTCACATGAATTGTTTGGTATCCCAGCGAATACGAAAGTTATCTTTACACTGCATTGTAGTATTTTAAGTGTGCAATAGTCTTATGGAAAAGTTTGAAATGTGAGAGTTACTAAAATGTGACAGAGACACGAAGTGAGCACATGCTATTGAACTTGGCATGACACAGTGAAAATTTGTGGAAAACTCAAAATCTAAGGGGTGCGATAAAATGAGGCATGGCTGTAGAGTTTCATTCACCTCTACCATGAGAAATACGGAGTCCTGGTGTGGCATTGTAGGTTAATGCACTGAACTGCATAGTCGGTTTGAACCACAAGGTCAGCGGTTCAAGCTAACCAGTCATTCCTTGGAAACCCTATACAGGGTTGCTATGGGTCCGAACCGACTTGACAGCACTTAACAACAACAACAAAATATATTCAATGGTGTCCTATTTCACATGGGACTCAAACATCTATTGCTTATGGCAGTCTATATTTATTAAACAAGATGAAAGGATAAAAAGGAACTTATCTAGTCTGATACAAATATATGTGCCTACATGTAAGGAGCATGTAAGGAGCCTGGTAACACAGTAGGTTAAGCACTGGCCTGCTAACCACAAGGTTAGCAGTTCAAACCCACAGTCCCACTATGGGAGAAAGTTGGGGCTGTCTCCTCCTATAACGATTTATAATCTCATGGGGAGGTCTCAAGAGTTAAAGGGAAAACTTCTGGTAAGATGGGGGCCCAGGCAGACGCACTACACAAATTCTCTACAACAAAGATATGAGATACCAAACAGAAGAGAAACAGATAGAAATCCTGGGCCCTGAGCTTCGGAGGAGAGGGGGATTGAGTGCTTGCTGGGAGAAGAGGGCGCACAGGAACAACGAGAGGGCAACGGACTGGTGAGCAAATGACCAGACACCACGTGACATCTTGAAGCTTGTGGACTTGACTCAGGCTCTACAGAACCCACAGAGCTATCAGACCAGCATGAACTCTGCGGTCCTAACAGATCCTGAAACCAGCTCCATAAAGGGCCGCCACAAACTACTTCTGGACTGACTGTCCTGAACATGGACACATAACACAGAGGCCACCAATGGGAACTCCCCCGAGGGCCAGAGCTTCACTGTCTCATCCCTCCCACACCCATCTGGTGAGGTCCTTGGCTTTCAGGAACTCTCCAGAGTGTTTGTTCTATTCTCTGGACCAAGAGCTGGGGTTTTTTTTGTTTTTTCTCTCCTTCCTTTTTCGGGTTTGGTTTTTTCCTTTTGTGATTTCATTGTTTTTGTTTGTTTATTCTTTCTCCTCCTTCTTGTCTTTCCATTCCCTCACATTTTATCCTTTCTATCTCTGATTTTGTTTTTCCTTCTTTACTTCTCATTTCCTCTCTTCTTTATTGTTTTCCCTTTTGATCTTTCTTTACTACTCTCTCTTCTCATCTTCCCTCTCCCTGGTTTTAGTAAGCATGATTTTTATTTATTCCTTTGATTTGATTTTCTATAGTTCCTTTTTTCAGTACCTCTTTTCTCTTTTTTTATATTATATGATATTTTTGTGATCTCTGCCTGGCTTTAATTCTTTTTTCTCCTTCATTATCTTGTCTTTTCAGTGTTGGTTGCTTGCTTGTTTACTCTGTTTTGCCTCCTGGTGTGTGTGTGTGGGGGGGGGGCAGTCTCTTCTCTTTCCAACCCAACAGGAGACAGCACTGTATCCATACAGCACAGCCACAACCATGCCCTCTGCAGCTCCATCCACAGGACAAGGGCTAATACCAGCTCCTATACTACCTGATCAACTATAGGTAGTGGTCAACACCAGCTAAAGCCACCCTAAACTGAGGTGCACGAACAGTGAACAAGAACAGTGGACAACCCTCCATTCTCTAACTATACTCACAGGAGGTAGTTTGTGCAAGCACGAGAAGACACTTACATACAATCATCAATTAAATACAACTATGAAAACACCAAAAGGTCTCAGAGACAACAGACAATTTTAGCTCACATGAAGAAACAACAAAGAATGGCTCAAACAAATGGCCAAGATACAGATGCAAAAACGTTTCTGACAAAGAAAATGTAATGGCACTTACTTAAAAAGAATTCAAAAGAATGATATTTAGGTAGCTACAAATTACTGCCAGAAAGATCAAAGAAAGCATGAAAAAAACTTTAGAAGAATTCAGGCAAACACTATAAGAACAAACACAAAATAAATGCAAATTTAAAAACAATACAAAACCTGCAATTTAAAATTCAGAAGATTAATTCTAAGATTTCAGAAATCAGCAATACATTAAAAGGGCAAAGGAGTAAATTAGAAGCAATGGAAGCCTGAGTTAATGAGCTTAAAGATAAATCTCTCAGTGCTAGTAAGCTAGAAGAACAATCGGAAAAAAGGATGAAAAAATGTTAAGAACGCCTAAGAGTTATGTGGGACACCATAAAGAGGAACAACTTTGGGATGACTGTAATTCCAGAACAGGAAAATAAAAAGCACAGAGAAAATTGTTGAAGAGTTGTTGAAGCAAAACTTCCCAAACCACATGAAAGATGAGAAGACAAGCATACAACAAGCTGAAAGAACACCACACAGGATAGACCCCAAAAGAAAGTCACCAAGACATATCATAATCAAACTTTCCAAAATCAAAGACAAGGAAAGAATCCTGAGAGCAGCTCAGGAGAAACAAAAAGTTACCTACACACAAGAACCCAAATCACTAAGCACTGATTTCTCAACAGAAACTATGCAGGCAAGAAGACATCCACAAAACGCTGAAAGAAAAAAAAAAAACTGCCAACCAAAAATCATATACCCAGCAAAGCTGTCCATCAAATACGATGGTGAAAATTAGGACATTTACAGATAAACAGAAATCAAGAGAATTTGTAATAACAAGATCAACTATGCAAAAAACACTAAAGGATGCTCTTTGAACTGAGAAGCAACAACTGCAGACAACAACCTGATATTAACCCACATGGCAACACCACCCAGAACTCAATCCAGATACAGAAGTTATTTCAAGTTAAACAAACTTACAAGACTATATATATAGGACACCACAGATACCAATTTATAATGAAGTCATCTACAAAACAAAAAGAGGGAATAGTGTAGACATAGAACTTCCAAATGCCAAGAAGTACATTTAGAGAAAAAATAGACTGTTTTAAATCGGGGGGAAAATGTATTATAGGGTGACAGCAAATAAAATGAATACACCTTCACATCAAAATAAAAAAGAGGAAAATCAGAAAGATGTAGTAGACATTAACATCAGAAATGAAGAAAATGAAATGAAAACCCTCAAGCAAATGAACTCAGCACAGAAAACTATGTGAAACAAACCAACAGCATCACAAAAAACCACTGTGCAAAATGACAGCAGTCAGTTTATACTGAGTGATAATTACACTGAATGTGAATAGATTCAATGCACCTGTCAAGAGACAGCGATAGCAGAATGAATAAGAAAACAAGATTCTTCCATCTGTTATTTACAAGAGACACATCTTACACACAAAGACAAAAGTAGATGGTTACAGGGCGTGTCGGGGGGAGATGGAAAAAATAACAAAGTAAACAGAGGTAAATATGGTTTTAAAAAATAAATAATTGAACTCTCTCAAGATTTTAAATTATTTTCAGCAAATTCAAATAAGGGCAGAGGATAAACACTAAAACCTCACAATACTGAAAAAGAAAAAAAAAAAAAAGAGTTAATGATAACAGAAGGAAATACTGTTATATATATAACCCTCCAATAACAGTGATCTACAGGTGGGTCCATAGACAGAGCCACAGGCTGAATGGATGTGGAAGGGAGAGTGGGAGTAGACCCACAAATATATTGGGAGTAGACCCACAAATATATAAAGGTTTGACAAGGTATTTGTGGAGTCCTGGTGTGGTGCTGTAGGATAAGCACCAGACTGCTAACCACAAGGTCAGTAGTTCATGTCCATCAGCAGCTCTTTGGAAACTCTATACAGGGTTGCTATGAGTCAGAACCAACTTGATGGCACTTAACAACAGAGGATATTTGTATAAAAGTATTTACCTTTACTAGAAACATATCCATGAATGTGGGGAGCATATATAGGGGGCAAAACTATAAAAATTTTTAGATGTGACCAAACACCTTAAGAGAATGAGTTACTGGGTCTGGGAGTTCAGGACCATAATCTCAGGAAATACCACAGTTATTTGGCATAACATAGTCCACAAACACAATGTACCAAACACCCGACTATGGTGAGTAGCATCTGGGAACTAGCAGCTCAAAAGCAGCCCTATAAGGAAGGTGCAAGTAACTATTGGTCTCTCCCTGTCCGGAGGAAGTGAGTGTGAAGAAAATTGAAGACACATCAGTCTCTGGATAGAGTGAGAGAAAATGTGGAAAAAACCATCAAACTCATTAAAAAGCTCACTGGTCAGACAGAGACTGGTAGAACCCTGTAACTACAGTCCTTGGTCACCCTTCAGGTCTGGAGCTGAACTTACCGTCTTGACTCAATTTTCAGTTCAGCAATAGACAGGTATACAGGGGGAAACAACAACACTAGTGAGGTACACACACCATAGAATGGTCATCCAGTCAAGATCAAAAGGGCAGCATTTACCTAAGGACAAAATTCAAAAGGGCTGGGAAAGGAGGAGGAATGGAAAGAAGAACTATGGGGGGAGGCAGATGAGTGATGTTATATTGAGGGGGTTGCAATCATTGAGATGAAACTATGATAATTTATTGAACATAAACCTTCACTCAGTACACTATATATTTTTTCTTAAATTATAGTCTCAGCAGCAGTTGGACTCTGTCCTACAGGGTCACTGAGGTGGAAGTGACTTGAGGGCAGTGGTTTTGGTTTGGGGAATTTTCATACGCATGTGCATATAGACACAGGTTAAACTAACTGTCATCTAGTCAATCCTGACTACAGGACAGAGTCCAGCTGCTCCCAAGGATTTCTGATACAGTCAGTCTTTACAAGAGCAGATCGCCCCATCTTTCTCCCAGCCAACCTGCAGTCAGCAGCCCAACACCACCAGGGCTCCTAATGTACATATATGTAAACACACACATACCTATGAGAGGGTTTCAAAAAACTCACGGAAAAATGGAATTAAAAGATAATGGACCCCCTCCATACACAGGATAGACAGGGATGGGCAACTTGGACATTGGCTACCCAAAGTTGAGGGGCTCCAAAGGCAAGAAGTGACTGGCTTACAAGCTTTCAAGAGGGAGTCTAGATCCAGAGGGCATGGAGGAAAGTAGAATCTCCACTGAGTAGTATCCAATCTGTCTAGGCAGGGCTGATGAAAGGAGATGCGGATAGGTCTCTTGTGATATAATAGTGAATAATTGCTATCAGGACTGACTGTGAGGGTTGGAAATATAAAGGTAGATATTTTGTATCAAGGAGGGGAGTGATTAACTTTGCAGTCTGGGAGCAGAGGTCCCTGGGACCATCAAGGGAGAAGAGTGGAGTGCGTGCGGGACCCTACCCAGAGAAGCAGTGACGCCAGAGATAGAGGCAGAGACAATGAGGTGGAGAGATAGAGTAGCTGGGGACTTTAGACACAGAGAGGGAGAGGGGCTGTGTGCTGACGACCAGAGGGCAGGCTTGCAGGGTATACCCTTTGGTTGGCTGATGACGCATGGAGGGGACTGTAACCATGGCAATGAAATGATATATGATAGGATGAATGTGAAACTAATGTTCTCCCATGTAAACTATCACATAATTCACAATAAAACATTAAAAAAAAAAAAAAAAGATAATGGAATTTTTCCACGAACTTTTGAAGTCCCTCATATGTGTCTGTGTGTGTGTGTGTGTATTTACATACATGGCTATTGTTGTTAAGTGCTGTAGAGTCAGTTCTGACTCACAGCATTTTTTGGGGTTTCCAAGTAGTGACTGGTGTGTCTGAACCACTGTCCTGGCAGTTAGCAGTCTAGTGCTTATCCCAATGCCACATCAGACACCATACGTATGAGCCATTTAATCTCAGAATAGAAGCATTTTCCTGAACTTTTCTCTGCTTATATGCTATTAATGTCACCAACTATTTCTCCAGTGAGAGCTATCATCTCAGGATGCCAATGTATGAGTTGTTGTTGTTATGCAATGATGCCCTCTCAACAGAGACCACCTTGACGCAGGATACTGATTACGCAAATATAATTCAATAACGGAGTTCTGGGGTGGTGCTGTGGGTTAATGCGCTGGACTGCAAAGTCAGTTTGAACAGCAAGATTAGCAGTTCAAGCTCACCAGTGGCTCCTCGAAAACCCTATACAGAGTCGCTGTGGTCAAAATCAACTCGATGACACTTAACAACAACAATAAGAACAAATTAAATAATAGGGATTCTGCCTCTGAGATGCCTACTCCGGATTTAAGCTAAACTCCCTCTATACAATAAGCAAATTATAGTAAATATTGCTCAGACATACAACTTCCATTACTTCTTGCTGTTAAATGTCAGAGTCAGTTCTGACTAATAGTGACCCTGTGTATGGTTTTCACGGAGCAGCTGGTGGGTTTGAATTGCCAATCTTGAAGTTAGCAGTATTCAGAAATAAGAAGTATTTCAACTTAAAATCAAATTAATTAAAACAAAATTCAATTACACTATCTGATGATCGGTTAAAAATGGTAACATGATAGTGTGTTTTGGGATAGGCAAAAAATAGTGTGTTTTGGGATAGGCAAAATAGGTAAAATTTTGATAAATTAAGCTAAGGAAAACTGTATACATAGGGGATCCAACAGAAAAAAAAAATGTCTGTTTTGCATACAAATCTTAAATGCTCAAAAGATTAAAAAAAAAAAAAAAAGGATGGCTGCTAAAGATTATGCAAGTATACAGTTAGCTGGTATAATACTTGAATTCTAAAATATTAAAATATGTTCATGTTGTTTTTGTACATGCTTGTTTTTCCCTTGGCTATATGGCACACCTGTTTTATCTTCCAAATCCCAAGACATACAATGGTTTCCAAGTATTACTCAATAAACAATACAACCAGTGTAATAGCTTAGACACTAACTCAGGACCAAACTAAAGCAAAAGGGAACATATTCATGAAACCCATTAACATATTCATTGGTTTAAGCAATGGAAATTATTCTCATATAAAAATTTCATATTTCATATTTATTTTTCAAAAGTCATAATTAGATTTATTTTTGTTGTTGTTAAGTGTCATAGAGTTGGTTCTGACCCTGTATAGGGTTCC